GAAGAAGAAGAAGAAGAAGAAGAAGAAGAAGAAGAAGAAGAAGAAGAAGAAGAAGAAGAAGAAGAAGAAGAAGAAGAAGAAGAAGAAGAAGAAAGAAGACAAAGAAGAAGAAGAAGAAGAAGAAGAAGAAGAAGAAGAAGAAGAAGAAGAAGAAGAAGAAGAAGAAGAAGAAGAAGAAGAAGAAGAAGAAGAAGAAGAAGAAGAAGAAGAAGAAGAAGAAGAAGAAGAGAAGAAGAAGAAGAAGAAGAAGAAGAAGAAGAAGAAGAAGAAGAAGAAGAAGAAGAAGAAGAAGAAGAAGAAGAAGAAGAAGAAGAAGAAGAAGAAGAAGAAGAAGAAGAAGAAGAAGAAGAAGAAGAAGAAGAAGAAGAAGAAGAAGAAGAAGAAGAAGAAGAAGAGAAGAAGAAGAAGAAGAAGAAGAAGAAGAAAGAAGAAGAAGAAGAAGAAGAAGAAGAAGAAGAAGAAGAAGAAGAAGAACAAGACAAAGAAGAAGAAGAAGAAGAAGAAGAAGAAGAAGAAGAAGAAGAAGAAGAAGAAGAAGAAGAAGAAGAAGAAGAAGAAGAAGAAGAAGAAGAAGAAGAAGAAGAAGAAGAAGAAGAAGAAGAAGAAGAAGAAGAAGAAGAAGAAGAAGAAGAAGAAGAAGAAATGAATACATTTGAAAGAAAGTGAGTAAATATATAAGGGCCGTACCAAATATTCGCTTCGTATTCGCTTCGGGGCTGAATAGTGGAACTAATAACTATTCGGTATTCGGTCGAAAAGTTGCGGTCGGACCGAATACGAATAGTGGTTACCTTACACCCGTTCATGGACTAGTAGAAATTAAACATATCAAGACTTCCCACCTTGGTTCATATTGTCCAGCGTTATCTCTGTGCACCACCTACGAGCGTACCAAGTGAACGTCTGTTTAGTAAAGCTGGAAATACTTTCAGTGAGACAAGAAACTGCCTTAATGCTGACAACATGGAACGATGAAAGCTAATGCCGCTTTCATGGATTAATTAAGCTATCAGAGACAATTTACAAGTTTAGTTACTTGTTATAAAACTAAGAATACTTTAGCTCCTAGGTATTAGTTACCACAGACTGACTGACTGAAGGATGCAAAACATAAAATGTATTCAAATGTTTACTATTCTGTACTACATTTTGTAAAGTAAAATGTCAGCGTACATTTGACATTATGAATGTTTTTTTTTTTTTTTCAGATCTATTTTATGCACGAAAGTGGAAGAATGGGCCTCAGTTTGAATAGTGGGAAGACAGAAGTAATGGTGATATCAAAGAAAATAATTACTACTAAATGTGTAATAAAAGTCAATGGTTTTATTTTGGGACAAGTACAGAAATTTAAGTATCTGGGCACATGGATAACATTAGATGGAAGATGCATTTCTGAAATAAGAAACAGAATAAGACAGGCAAAAACTGCATTTTATCAAATGAAGAACATCTTATGCAATATATCTTTGTCATTGAAGGTTAGAAAAAGAATTTTTGCTTGCTACATACATCCAGTGTTAACATATGGCTGTAAGTCCTGGACAATCGGTAGGCAGGCCAAACAATTTTTAGAGGCCTCAGAGATGTGGTATTACAGAACAATGCTTAAAATATCCTGCATAGTAAACGAACATCGAACCGAGGCTAGCGGTGCTTACTACAAGAAGGCTGGTAAACCAGCAATTAACTGGGTCGAGCAGTGCTCACTGCAAGACGACTTGTTAACGAACATCGAACTAGGCCTAGCGGTGCTCACTACGAGAAGAATAGTGAACGAACATCGAACTGGGGCAAGCGGTGCTCACTACAAGAAGGCTGGTAAACCTGCAATGAACTGGGGCGTTCAGTGCTCACTACAAGAAGACTGGTAAACCAGCAATGAACTGGGGCGTTTAGTGCTCACTACAAAACGACTTGTGAACCGCCAATGAACTCAAATGAGCAGTGCTCACTACAAGAAGACTGGTGAACGAACATCGAACTGGGGCCGGCAGTGTTTACTACAAGAAGACTAGTGAACCAGCAATACACTGGAGCGAGCAGTGCTCACTACAAGAAGACTGTTGAACGAGCATCAAACTGGGGTGAGCGGTGCTCACTACAAGAAGACTGGTAAACGAACATCGAACTGAGGCGAGCGGTGCTTACTTTAAGAAGACTAGTGAACGAACATTGAACTGGGGCGAGCGGTGCTTACTACAAGAAAGCTGGTAAACCAGCAATGAACTGGGTCGGGCAGTGCTCACTACAAGCAGACTATTGAACGAACATTGAACCGAGGCGAGCGGAGCTTACTACAAGAAGATTGGTAAACCAGCAATGAACTGGGTCGAGCAGTGCTCACTACAAGAAGACTAGTGAACGAATATCGAACGGAGGCGAGCGGTGCTCAGAGATGTGGTATTGCAGAACAATGCTTAAAATACCCTGGACAGCCCCAGCAAAAAAAAAAAAAAGCAACCAAGAAGTTTTGATAGATGCGGGAGCCCGAAGACAACTACTCACAGACATCAGAAGGAGACAGTCATCATTTTTCGGCCATATTATAAGATGGGGGAAAATGGAACATGTGGTGACCATTGGAAAGATATGTGGATGGAGGGATAGAGGAATTCTTGACAGTCTTGTTGCATGGCATGGAGGTGTGCCAGCACACGAACTAATACACGCTGCAGGAGATCGCAGATTGTGGCGAGGCATAATCGCCCATACCAGTCGGCAAAGCACCTGATGGGGAGGATTAACTATTCGTATTCGTATTCGGCCGAATAGTTGGTCCAGCTATTCGTATTCGGCCGAATAGTGAAAATCACTATTCGGTACAGCCCTAAAATAAATACTTCCTAACTAAAATGGAATTACTTACAATTCTTGCACGATTGACACATGCTGTGAATGCATTGACTAATGAAGAACAGTTGAGAATATCCCCAGCGTTATCCTGGTAGCATTTCAACACTTCCGCCTGGAGCTCTTGACAGACAGGTTGAGGCATAATGCCCCTGCATAGGTGATATTTATATGACACTAGTTAGGAAACATGTCGTTACATTCAACAAGCTATAGTACTTAAGATACATTCAACAAGTTACTATACGTAAGATACATTCAACAAGTTACAATTCTTAAGATACATTCCACAAGTTACAATGCGTAAGATACATTCAACAAGTTACAATACGTAAGATGCATTCAACAAGTTAGAATGCGTAAAATGCCTTTAGAACTATTTATTTGTGCCTCAAAGCATCATCCTAACAGACAGATTGAGAAAATGGTGTATATACACATCAACATTCATAACTTTGGTTTCTTTATACATTGAACCCAATTAACGCCTTTCGTTTTCTTCTTTACAGAACGTCGCTTTCTTCACGAGGGCCATGAAAGTCTTTTTTTTTTTAGCCAATTCTTTAGCCCTATATGCTTTTGTGGTCACTAATCTTCAATGTCTGTATCCACATTTGGTCGGCCTCTGCTAAGTTTTCCGCAAACTGCACGCTCCATCACCGTTGCCTCCAGGCCACCGTGATGCCTAACATGACAATAATATGTCAGCTTTCGAGAAAGGATGCTGTTGATAAACCAATTCTCCTAGATGTTCAGATCATGTATGGTGTCGGTGTCATTCTTCTTCTTGATCTATGGTATTCTAAAAACTTTACTGTAGCATTTCGGTTCAAAAGCTCCGAATTTTGTTTCCAAAGACTGAGTAAGATTACATGACTCTTGCCATTACATTGACAACGTTTCTATTTCATCCGTTGGTCTAAGCTAAACAGTGTGGCTATTCGTTCATTTATTTATTCATTCATTGTCTTATTGAACCAATATATGTCACATAAGGCTCGTGGTCTATTCCTCCATTTCGTTCTCTCAGGTGTAATCACTTAGAAGTCATGGATTGCCCTCTCGTCGACGTCAGTGCAACAATCGTTTCCGGTATTTACTGATCACAAGCTGTCAGATCAAGTATTTACTGATCATAAGCTGTCAGATCAAGTATTTACTGCTCACAAGCTGTCAGATCAAGTATTTACTGATCACAAGCTGTCAGATCAAGTATTTACTTATCACAAGCTGTCAGATCAAGTATTTACTTATCACAAGCAGTCAGATTAAGTATTTACTGATCACAAGCTGTCAGATCAAGTATTTACTGATCATAAGCTGTCAGATCAAGTATTTACTTATCACAAGCAGTCAGATCAAGTATTTGCTGATTACAAGCTGTCAGATCAAGTATTTACTTATCACAAGCAGTCAGATCAAGTATTTACTGATCACAAGCTGTCAGATCAAGTATTTACTGATCACTAGCTGTCAGATCAAGTATTTACAGATCACAAGCTGTCAGATCAAGTATCTACTGATTACAAGCTGTCAGATCAAGTATTTACTGATCACAAGCTGTCAGATCAAGTATTTACTGATCACAAGCTGTCAGATCAAGTATTTACTGATCACAAGCTGTCAGATCAAGTATTTACTTATCACAAGCTGTCAGATCAAGTATTTACTGTCATCAAGTATAAGCTGTCAGATCAAGTATTTACTGATCACAAGCTGTCAGATCAAGTATTTACTTATCACAAGCAGTCAGATCAAGTATTTACTGATCACAAGCTGTCAGATCAAGTATTTACTGATCACAAGCTGTCAGTCTGATCACAAGCTGATCATCACAAGTATTTACTGATCACAAGCTGTCAGATCAAGTATTTTACTGATCACAAGCTGTCAGATCAAGTATTTACTGATCACAAGCTGTCAGATCAAGTATTTACTGATCACAAGCTGTCAGATCAAGTATTTACTGATCACAAGCTGTCAGATCAAGTATTTACTGATCACAAGCTGTCAGATCAAGTATTTACTGATCACAAGCTGTCAGATCAAGTATTTACTGATCACAAGCTGTTAGATCAAATATTTACTGATCACAAGCTGTCAGATCAAGTATTTACTGATCACAAGCCGTCAGATCAAGCACTCACCTGAAGTTGACCTCGACCTGCTTCACAGCTGCAGCAAACTGTTTATTTGTTATGTTGAGTAATTCTGTATTCTGTATGATGAAGACAAGTTACTGTGTTAACAAATGTATGTGCTTCCTGAGATTTGGAAACGACAAAACAAATATTATTTTTACTGCCTGCGTGTGCCATTTTAGGGTCGTATAGGACTGGGGGAGTGGTTTACTATTCTGGGGATTTAAAACTACATGGGTAGTGCAGTCTGAACTGGGTAAGTACGCATGTTTAATCCTCCCCCTCTCCCCACCCTTTCCCTGAAATAGTCATTCCTTACTTAGTTCCCCAGTATAGACAAAAGAAGTAAATTCCCAGTTTAATGTATGAACATAGTTTCCGCTAACAATTTCAAAGCACCGCACGGGAAAACACAGGAGTTGAGAAAGGGGACATCAGAGTGTTTTTAACGGATAAACCATTAATTACATTACCCAAAGGAGCATTAATTGAAGACTACAGCACCAACAACTGATAGAATATAAATCCAGTGTAACATTACAGGAGGAAATAATAAATGATGAAGTTAATGTTATAAATAATAACAATAATAATAATAATAAACTATCTATAAACAAATACTCTTAACTAGAATTTCCAGATATTGCGAAAAGGGGTCTTTTGACGGTCCCAACCAATGAGATTCAACCCCACTAGGACATCCATCAAGCGATTAAACATCCAGTGACACACATTGCCGCCATGCGGATGAGGATCACCAGGGGAAGAGATCCCGGAAACCCCGTTTAACCGTTAGATAATACTAGGGCTCCCGACTACAGCCTGGGTGGGGCTTTAAAAAAAACCGAGAAATTGCGTTCCGCATCAAGACGACAGATAAGTAACTTCCCCGAAGGATTTTTTGACGTTCCGCATCAAGACGACAGATAAGTAACTTCCCCGAAGGATTTTGTGACGTTCCGCATCAAGACGACAGATAAGTAACTTCCCCGAAGGATTTTGTGACGTTCCACATCAAGACGACAGATAAGTAACTTCCCCGAAGGATTTTGTGACGTTCCACATCAAGACGACAGATAAGTAACTTCCCCGAAGGATTTTGTGACGTTCCACATCAAGACGACAGATAAGTAACTTCCCCGAAGGATTTTGTGAGCCTTTATTGGCCAATGCACACCTTACCCATTCCCCGCCCCTCCCACACCACCACTGCCACCATGTTTGCCAAGTTTGTATCATTATCTTGTTTGCTGACAAACGTTTTGTGGCAGCAATACTAATTTGGTCCCTTGTGGTTTTGCTTTTTTAAAATTGGCTAAGTCTACTTTGCGTTTCGTCTGTTTGTTTTTTTTTTTTTTTTTTAAGACACGTATTTATGTTTTCATTCATGACGAACACATTTATGCAGACGAAAACCTATGAAAAGCCCTACCCTCTGCTGAAGGTCCTTAAGCTTCTTGACACAAAAATCTTCCACATTCTTGTCGTTCAGCAGAGAGGCTACAGTCTGTGGATGTTTGGTCATATTTATATATGAATTGCCATAGGCGAAAATGAAAATAACATTGTACTGTTCTCCAGGCGAAAATTTGCTTCTTCTTCTTCTTATGTCCTATTATTTATACCGTACAGCGTGGCAGAGAGGAGTTAGATGTAGTTTCCTTCTTTTGCTAGCTGTGTGGCTTGTATTATTGTCATACTGTGGTGTCTATTTTATTCCTCCACCCGTTTCTTTCATGCTCGGTCTCTTACATTGTAGTCTGACTTTCTCATAAGCAACGCTTTAGCTGCTGGCTGATTTTGTTCCACTGTGGTCAGAGAACCAAACCATTTGATTGTTTGATGTTCTACAAATTGTTGTGAAGTACAGCGCCTACAATTGTTAGTTTTTAGCTGGTGAACATTTAATTCAATAGTAAAATAATGGACAAGGCCCAGCTCTAGCTTTTGGCGCATCAGAAAATTGTGTCTATAGATCAACAGGCACTCGATGGTTGATGTGATCAACATGTCGCCGGCTGCCTTTACTTCCTAGGATATTAAATAGTACTCATTTTAGACTGAATCGACCTGGGAGCCAAGGTCAGTTCTGAGAGCAACTCGCCTCGAATTGGATTTGAACATTCGCCTTTCGAGACAGCAGATAAGCTTCTATTGCGGGTTACTGGAATCAATAGAAGTAATAAGTAAATACACTAAAGTAGACGTAAGTAAGTAAGTAGATAAGTAGATATAACATAAAATGTGAGTAGATAGCTCAACCCGGGGGGGGGGGGGGGTGGAAAAGACATGCACAGATACTACCAAACGTTTCCATCAGTTTTTATTAACGGAGTACTAAATGCAACAACATAAACTATGACAATACTTGTTAATGTGCCACGTACACACTTTCTAATCAGAGATTTAAGATTCTTATTCTTCAGAGATCTCTGGTGAAGCGCTTAAACCAATGTGGACCGTAAACGGGGATGTCATCTCAAGATCTCTTAAGTTTACCCAAAGATTAGTTGTCGGGTGTACTGGATGTGGCTACATGTTGCTTCGCAGCTCCTCTAAGATAGGACAGTCTTGCAAGACATGTTCTGGAGTCTGCTCAGCACAAAGACACTAGCAGAGAGCTGTTTGGCTCATACTTATATAAGTGCGTGCTGAGTCTGCAGGGCTGTAGGATGTCAGCTTCTCTATATGTATGACTAGAAAGTGAATTCCATGACCTATATTATACGTGTTAAGTATTGGGGCTGAAACATAAATATCATTGTGGTCATCTTCATTTTGTTTCTTTCTCCCAGCTTCTTCTTCTTCTTCTTCTTCTTCTTTTCTTCTTTTTCTTCTTCTTCTGCGTCTTCTTCTTCTTCTTCTTCTTCTTCTTCTTTTTCTTCTTCTTTTCTTCTTATTATTATTATTATTATTATTATGTTTCTTCTTCTTCTTCTTCTTCTTCTTCTTCTTCTTCTTCTTCTTCTTCTTCTTCTTCTTCTTCTTCTTCTTCTTCTTCTTCTTCTTCTTCTTCTTCTTCTGCTTCTTCCTCTTGTTCTTCTTCTTCTTATTATTATTATTATTATTAGTATTATTATCTTTCTTCCTCTTCTTTTTCTTCTTCTTCTTGTTCTTATTATTATTATTATTATTCTGTTTCTTCTTCATCTTCTTCTTTATTCGCCCTTAAAACGGCGGATAGCAAGTTGTATTGTAGTTTAATGCTACGTTGCGGTATTCGCACCTTTCTTTCAAACATGTCCTATTTCAGCAAAGCCTAAATTAGTTACTTTTACAACTGGCTTGTCAGAGCTGGTTAAAGGCAGTCGGACAACCCCCCCCCCCCCCTTTTTTTTTTCTCCCCCCCCCCCCCCCCCCCCGATAAAAAATGTGACCTTACAATACAAACTGAGCTTATGCTATTATGTTGTTCGCTCTTTGCTTTATCGTCACTTTTCGTGCTAAGACAATTCTTGAGTGTTTGTGTCTTCTACGTCCACTTCAGATCTAATTGCGGGGTCCAGAGATAAACTATTACAAAGCACACAAAAGTAGTAAGATAAACATACCGCTGAAGTGCTTTTTTCGTCTGTTGAGAAAGAAAAGAGTACATTGTTAAATCTAACTTCTAACACCAAGAGGCAGAGAGTTGAGTTCAGCTGAGATAAAAACTGACATCGCAGTACCGTTGATCTCAGCGGATCCAGCATAGTATGCTGGACACTTGTTTTTATTGACCTATCAACACTCGTTGGCTAAGATGACCAAAGATAGTTGACCAAAGTCGAATAGCCATCATTTATTCCCATATTTCCTGGTACACATTTTAGGGTAGATCGACCCAGGAGTCAAAATCACTATTTTTGAATAAAAATCAGCCTTGACGTCATTGGCGCCTTATAATACTACTCTACCACCGTAAAATGACAGCATTTTCTGGATCTGTAACTTGAAGGTTTTGACATCTTAGTGCCCCGTTAATTAGAGGGACCATATCTTGACCTTAAAACGGGACATCCCGATAGTATTTTCAAATGAAAACAAGCATCCCAAACAAGTCCGTTACTATCCCCACACCTACACCCTGCCTTTTTTTTTTTAGGTTATCGGGTTGTAATGGGTTAATTACTCGCCCGGTATTTAAAGCTAAACCAAAGCCAGCATGACAAAACTGCAGAGATAAACATTTAACATGCTTATCAACACATTTCAGGCATTAAAAAGTTTTTCCCCTGGATTAGTCTGTGCTTAGAATTATGTGTATAGATATTAACATGTAACGCAACCCATAATTTGTTGATGTAATCAATGATTTTAGAGAATGTTAAAATGTCTTCTTTTCTTAGCGTTAATCGGCTGTAAAACTTCGGGGAGAGTTCTGGCTTTTTGTCAATTTCTAGACTTAAATCCTTCTTCCAGAACTAGAATTGTGTATGCCTATCCGATTTACTGACTTGTGTAATTTGAATGCAGGCTGTTGGTTCCTCGTCTCTCAGGTAGGTGTGCTCCGACTACGGATGATAAATCCCTCATCCGGCGCTTTACGACATGCCCGATAGAAAGACAGAGGTTCTATTTTCCCCCCCCCCCCCCAATCCACCACCTCACCCCCCATTCCTAACAGTCAATGATATCCAACGTTGGAAATATTGAACATGTGTCAAAAATGGTATTCGCCGATGGAGACAATAAGACTCGCAAAACCTAAAAAAACGGTAAAATTTGACGAACTGGTCAAAGCAATGGGGATTTATAGCTTTCTATCCCCCCCCCCCCCCCCCCCCCCCCACCTTTTTTTTTTTTTTTTTTCTCTATTGTGGTTTTTCTAATTATATTTTACATAAATTCAATAGTTTGCCATGGCTCACTTAACGGTCAGCTCACGGTACCACTGTCAAAACCAAACAAGACGGTTTGCTGCCAAATCGCCTGCAGCTGGGATCGAACCTGGCTCCTCGACATTACGAAACGCGTCAGCAACTCCTAAGCCACCTAGGCCGACAATTGTAAAATTAAATATAATATGTATGTAATATTCACTTTTAAAGGGTTTTTAGTCCCAAGCTCGCATTTAAATCACATTACTATCTATCTATTGTCTTCTTCACTTTTACAAGGTTGCAGCACAATGTCGTGGTTTAAAATATTTGTTTTGTGCCTCTCGCGTGATTTGAGTGACAGTTTTGTGGATCTTCTGGCCGTATTCAGCTACTCCATCTATCCATTTTTTCCTAGGTCTTCCTCTGGCCTTTCTTCCCGATGTTCTACTGTAAAAGGCCTTATAGGCAATCTGATCCAGTTGTATTTTTACTAAATGGCCAAACGACTTCATTCTCTGTCTTTCAATATGTTTCATGCATGCTCTTGTTCCAACTTTGTCTCTAATGCTGACGTTTGTGACTCTGTCTCTTCGTGTATTGTTGGTGACTCTTCGGAGACATCGCATTTCACACGTAGTTATTTTTTGCATATGTGATTTGTTCATTGTCCACGTTTGGCACTGATAACATAACGTAGGGATGAAAATGCTGTTGATCATCCGTTGTTTGGCTGGTAACGAGATCTTTCGATGACGAAGAAGTGGGGCCAGTTGGTAGTTGACTGCATTGGCTTTTTGAACTCTAGCCTGTATCTCTTTATCGAGTCTTCCATCTTCTGTAAATATGCATCCTAAGTACTTGAATTCTTGAACTTGTTTAAATTGTATGTCATTGATCTTTATGTTTACATTACTGTGTTTCTTTCCTATGGTCATTACTTCAGTTTTTGAGGTGTTTATTTTCATGTCAAATTTTGAACAGTTAGTGAGCAATGAATCAACATGTTGTAGTTTTTGTTCTTCTTCTTGTAACAAACATTGGTCATCTGCAAAGAGTAGTTCATTTATGATATCTGTGTTTTGGTTTGACTCCTGTGCAATTTTATCCATATATGTGATGAAGAGTAGGGGTGATAGGACACATCCTTGTCGTACTCCCGATGTAATGGGGATTCAGTCTGTCATACCTTCCGTTGTTCTTACAGCGCTCTGGCTATTTTGATAGAGAGCCATTATGTTTCCCAATAACTGACCCGGTACACCATATTCTTCAAGAATGTTCCATAGTTTATTTCTGTTAACCCTGTCAAAAGCCTTCTCTTGATCAATGAATATAAGATTCTGGTGTTTATTATATTCGATTGTCTGTTCACAAAGCTGCCGAAGAGTAAATATTGCATCAGTGCAGCTCTTTCCTTTTCTAAATCCAAACTGATTATTACTTAATTGAGGTTCTAATATCACCCTCGCTCTTCGTTCTAATATTTTTGCAAACATCTTTCCTACATGGCTTTGTAAAGAGATACCTCTATATGTTTCACAATCTCGTTTATCACCTTTCTTCTACCATATGGGAACTATAATTGCTCTCTGCCAGTCAACGGGAACTTTCATTTCCTCCCAGGCCATATTGAATATTCTTGTCAGCCATTTTACTGCTGTTGCCTTACATGCAAGTATTATGTCTGTTGTAATACCATCTGTTCCGGCCGCTTTGTTTCTTTTGCTTTGCTCTAGGATCTTTTCAACTTCAGATTCTAATATATTAGGTTCTTGTTCTTGTCCAAATTTTATTTTATTAGACACTGGTTCTTGTGGTCCACTATTCAGTAATTCAGAAAAATATTCTTGCCATCTTCTTTTAACATCTTGGGTTTTGGTGAGTGGTTTTTTTTAGCCTTGCTGTTTATGATCTTTGATGGGTTAAATTTCTCTTCTCTCAGTCTCATAGCCTTGATGCTTCGGTAGAACTCACCTGGTGAATCAGTGCATAGCCTTGCTAATTGTTCTCCGTGGTTTGCCCATGATTCTGATTTCGCCGAATTTACTTTCTTCTTGCTCTTTGCTCTTGCTTTTCTATATTTGATGTAGTCCTCATCTAATTTGGACTTTTGCCACTGATGAACATATTTCTTCTTTTCTTTGATAGAAATTTTAACTTCTTCATTCCACAATGCTGTTTGTTTCATGTGTCTTCTTGGCTTTCGGAGTCCGCACTTTTCTGTCATTACATTCAGGATGCAGGTTTTAAAAATTTGCCACTCTTCTTCTATGTCATTTCCTCTCTCTAGAGTACTGAAGGTGTTTTTAACTGTTTCTTGTTGGTTTATAGAGCTAAAGTACTACAGGTCGATGGTCAGAGTCTATTATTGCATTTGGGATGGCCCTGGAGAAAAAATCTATCTGTGATGTTTGGTTAATATTATTCCATTTATACCAGGTCAATATCTTGCTTCTCTTATGTTGATATAGCGTGTTGCTGATAATTAGTTCATGCTCTGCACATACATTGAGTAATTGTTCTCCATTGTTGTTACATTTATTTTCTTTGTCACTAAATGGTCCCATACATGTGGACCATGGAGGTCGACGTTCTCCCACATGTCCGTTGAAATCTCCCATCACATACAAGCCATCAGTGTCTGTAACTTTACTGATGGTTTCACTAAGTTGGTCGAAAAATTCAGTTTTTTCTTCTTCAGTGTAAGTGTCGTTACAAGGAGCATATACTTGAATATACGATACTCTTCTTTTACCTGCAGCCAGTCTGATACTTATGATTCTCTCTGACACGAATTCTGAATCTAGTAAATATTTTGCTGTTTCTGGAGCAATGATAAAACCCACTCCATGTTTGTTAGTTTCTTGTGGTTGAGTCCCTTTCCAAATCAGAACAAAGTTCTTATGAATTTTCTGGACGTCTTGAGCTTTTCTTCTGATATCAGCAGTTCCCAAAACTTTGATTTTACTCTTAATCATAAATTCAACCAATTCAGCCACTTTACACCCCCCCCCCCCCCCATACCACAAATGTTCCATGTAGCCATCTTAAAAACTGTCGTGCCGGATCTGTCTTCCTTGGCCGGTGTTTCTTTCATGACTCTGTTTTGTGTGTGGCGGTTTGAAGCGCTGGTGTAATCAAGCTTTTTCTTCAAAATACACCATAAATCTTGAGCAATGGTGCTTGAAAAAACAAATCCCCCACCGGCTTACTGGGCCTGTCGTTGGATCATCCTTGTTTGAACAATAATTTGATGGAAATCCTCCAAAAACTAAATTTATCAAAACTGCATAGTGATAGCCGCAGCTTATTCCGCCATCTTGGCCAGGTTTTTCGAAATCACATTATTAAATATGTTAAATGTTGAATTAGTAATCGACATCATAGACCTCGGGACACCCTCATAAGCGCCTCCGTCCCCATCTTCAGCAGCAAACGAAGAGTTCCAATTCCGATGGCACCAGTAACTGTCTGATTGTATATCTGTCTCGCCCTTCCTATGAGTGTTGAGCGTCGGCCAAATCCCCAGGTAATTCCTCGCAGCGCCATTCTCCTCAGACCATAATGATCTATTTGCGCTTCCGCACTGTTAACTCGCTCCCAGAGGGCCCTCACAGCGTCTAGCTTGTCATACATCAATTCACAACCAAGTTGGTGCAGAACCGGCCAGTCTATCTGCCTGCTCATTTCCCAAAACACCAGCATGACCTGGAGAGAATATCCAAAGGATACTAACTACCCCGGACCTCTGAAGTGTTGCTTGCCACACTGAACGGAGCATGCCTGTCTTCGCCTTTCTCGACATGCTCTGTGAGTCGGTGACAATCATGGTATGTGTGTACAGCTGATTCTCAAGCCAGCAGAAGGCAGCATTGACTGCCTCCACCTCCATTCTCAAACGAGACATTGTGATATCATATGCCAGGCTTTGTTGCACTATGCAACGTCCATTCGCTTTTGCTAAAAACACCTATGCACTTTGTCTGCCCCTCAACACAGAGCCATCTGAAGCAAAATCACAATACTGTACATGGTTATTATGCCATTTCTGTTATGCGACTATTCCGATATTCGTCACAGCCATCGGTCGGACAGTGACATTTAATCCAAGATTTACTGTATTTAAAATTATTATATTTTTTAAGTTGGCTCTGTGGCTAAATCGATGCGAACGCTTCGTAATGCGGGATGCCGGGTTCGATCCCAGCTGCAGGCCATGCGCCTTGCGTTGGTTTCGACAGTGGTATAAAGAAAGCCGACTGTCCAGAGGGCAATGGCAAACTACTGGACGTAAATTTACCTAGAAAAACAACACAACAGCTGTTGGGGTTGGGTCTGCAACGTCCTGTAAAGGATACGAAACTAACCTTATATATATTTTAAAGATTTCTGAAATTACCCAGTGTCATTTAAAATTGGCGTCTTGAGAATTATCTAGCTTGGGGCTTTGATGATGTGACATTCTGACGAGGAAGAATTAGTTATGCCAATCCTCTGGTTTGAACCCGAACCACTTAAAAATAGCATGAATTGTCTATAGTTTATTTTTAGCTGCCAATACTATCAAAAATAATACGGAAGATACTTTACAATACTTGCACTTCTTTTCTTTTTCCTGCCAGTAAAGTAAAGATCCCCTTTCACGGTTTTAGAGGCATTGGGCACACGGGAAGAGCACCCATATTTTTACAGACGAATTGGCACTAGGTGGGTATTGTGGTCAGCATTACGCCGACCATTGTTACTTCCCCAGGAAGTACATCCTGGTACCCATTTTAGGCTAGGTCGACCTGCGACGCCCCATAGCGTGATAAAAATCCATGCAGCCAGCAGTGGGTTTCGATCACGGTACGCTGGAATTACGAGTCAGACTCGCAAAGGCCTAAGCCACGGACGCCTTCTCCCAGCCAATGGTTTTCAGGTAAGAAGGCCGTAAGCCTCTGTGAAGTCTAGGGTGGGACGCATGTCTTCCACTGTTCTATACAGATTGGTTTTCCATTTGAATGCCAACCGAGCAAACCTGGGATCTCTCTACTGCGTGCAGAGCGCATGGCTATAACACTGGTTCAAAATTTAGTGAGGACTACCATCACGGCACTCCGGACAGAACAATAGAAGGCGTTCCGATTTCCTTCTCAAAAGCTCCACAAGTGTAAAACGACTAAGGGCGCCTGTTTTGTGTTTAATCAAATGTTACGTTTCCTTGGCGAAATCTACATTTCTTGCAGCCCTAGATTGCACCACTATATTCATCAGCCTAGACAGGGATAGGGAGTCATGTCCTTTGCTGTATTCGTATTCGCGTTTTCCATAAGGTCTTTATCACCTTAGGTAGGTAATGTAGAGAGTGGTGCAACACTACGACACTAACAGATGAAAGCGCTAGGTTAGATGATGTAATAGTGTATACCGATGATTCTGTTAATAGGGGTGAAAGATCTGGCTGTGGATTTTCAGCTGCAGTGAAGGGAAAGATAGTGGCAGAATAAAATGGCGATTTCTATGTGCAACTAAAGATATGATGATGGAGGTGGAAGCAATCACTGCAGATATGAAGTTTATCGCAGAAAAAAGTAATCAGGGGGAATTATAGTAACTGATTCTCAGACCGCACTGCAAAAGATTCAAACCCGACAAATGTGGCATGAGTGGACACCAAGTATTATCATGATAACATTACAGGGCATCCCGTGGATATACTGTCCAGGAAATGCAGAAGTGTGAGGGAATGAAAGTGCGGATTTTCTAGCTACAAAAACAATAGCTACGGGAACACTCGTACTGGACAAAGAAGACATTCTTAAGACCATTTATGACAAAATCTTAAAAGAATACACAAGATTAGATCAAATAACATGCGTAGGAATGTGTGAAGGAGGAATTAGGTGTTGATCGGTCAGGCAGGGGGCGTATGACAGGAAGAGAACGATGAGTATTAATCATAAGTGTGCTATGGGAGCTGTTATCATCTACACTTTAAGACTTTTGCTACAGGAGAAGGAGCACCTATGTGTACCCCCCAGTGTGCTAATGCTATGATGTCTATTCTGAGTCTATTCTTAATTAGTTAAAAATAATATACACACCTTTTTTTGAGATGTTCATATTGTAAGAATATGTAAAGCTGTCTAATTATGTGCGGATTCAAAGTCCATACGTCAACAGTGAAACAATTCTTGATTATTCTGAAACAAAAATAAACGAAAACTGAAACAAAAGCAGCTCCAGGGAGAGAAATGGACAACAAATCAACACACAAACTGCTTCCGAAAGGAATATTACAACAGTAGTGCGTTCCTGCAATTTCGACTGGGAATTTCCAATTTGCAAAAGTTTTGCTGAATAACATGGTTAAAGTTACACTAGAGCAGTTTTCTCCAAACTTTTTTTTTCATGTCGTCATCCCCCTCCCCCCCCCCACCCCCACCCACCCACGGTTTCTATATACAGGTGGAAGATTTAAAATATGTTCTGAAAAAGGTGAAAGACACTGCACCTGTGATATTCCCACATGAGGGACATGAGTGATGCAGACCTGGTGGAAATGACTGCTTGTTTCAATTAGAGCATTAGGACAGCTTCAGTCCCAAAAGAGTGGGTGCACAGCTGCCTGATTCCACTTCCTACGCCTGGCAAGGCTCATTCAACACTCAGCGGCTTTAGGATCATAACCCTGCAAAACCCCTTTGGTAAAGTTCTGGAGAAGATCGTGGCGGGTAAGATACAAGAATTTTTGGAACAGAGAAATCGCCTACCACGAGATTTGGGAAGCTAGCGGCCAGGGAAGGACATACGGTCAAATACAGCCACTTTTGACTGACACCTTTGAAGGTGTCCAGAACAGGCAGAAAACGGTGGTAGAGGCCCTTGATTTAGAAGATCTTCACAGCAGAGTCAAATACAGTATCTTGATGACAGCGCTTATTTCCTTGGTTGGTGAACTGGATAGCAATTGTTTTGTATACTCGTCGGGTAGCTCTCCGCCTGCGTTCATGAACCTCCGAACTTTAGCCCCTGGACTACCACAGGGATCTGCAATTTCACCTGTACTGTTAAGTGTTTTTACGAGCAAGATTGCGAACTTGGAGAAACCTATATTTGGCAGATTGACATTTGCAGACGATCTTTTCGTGTAATAGGAAGGGGAGGGGTCGGAATAAAATAGCTCAAGCGTTACAGGCAACAGTCGATAAGGTGATTGACTGGTGTATAGAGATGAATGCTGTAATCAACCCAGAAAAGGCAACGGTCTTGTGTTGTTCTTTGGAACATGATTGTTACAGATGATGTTCCAAGCCTCAAAATAAATGGCAGGGATATCAAAAGAGACAGCAGACTGTGGTACTCGGGAATCACCTTTGACGAAAGCTTGTCTTTTAAAGATCCCATAGAGGAGGTGGTGACAAAGGCTCACAGAGGTCTTAATGCACTAAAGATTATGGCAGCAATGGATATGGAGAATGCTGTTCACACTTTATCAGCACTTAATCATCTCAGCTCACTGTCTCGAAGAGTCAGGTAAACAAACTGGAGCGCATACAGAATGAAGCTATGCGGGTGATCATGTGATGTACAAGGGACACCCAGAATGTGTGCATGCGATTTATTCTTGCATTGCCGATTATTGCAGATAGGCTAAAGGGGCTGCAGGTTAAGGCATACCTCAGAGTGGCTGCAGACAAAGAGCACATTCTGTATGCTTCTTTGGCTGCAGCTAAGGGTCAGAGGCTGAAAGGGAAAAATTGTGGACTGAAAAGTTATTTCCCAATTTATTATTATTATTATTATCAGTTGTGTTTTTTTTTAGGTGAACTTTTGACTGTTGACCCCAGAAATCTGCATGAAATTGTGTGCAGAAAGTTCTTCAACGATTGTTTTGAATTTTTGACACAGTGTTGCATTAGAATACGTGCGTATTTTAAAAAGAGTGTCGAACAAAGCACGAACTACATAGTTCCAGTGACGATTACATCGGGATTAGGCTCATGATTTTTTTCCCGACATTCCAATTGCCGCGTCCCCGAACTTTGTGTGACCTCAAAAATCTGCATGAGATAATAAATTTTTTAGTTATGGTGTCGAAGAGTTGTTGAAGAGATTGCATATTAATTTATGTGAAGGTCACGGGTAGTGAGCATACTTTGAATCTTTTCTCCAGGCCATACCGGCGTGGTGGGGAATGAAGAGACAGACAGATTGGCTGGATTTGCAGTACTGGGTGGTGAATTGATACATGACAAGGCAGCTGTGGTCAATGCCCTTTGGGAGCATTTAATAAAGTTAGAAGAGAACCATGATTATTAAGGCCTCAATTCAACTCAACTCAACTTTTCGTCCATTTATAGACTAACATTATATAATATTGTCACGCAGATATTGAGTTGAGTGCATGCGTATCACTGAGCTGTGGATTACATTTGGAATGGTTTTTTTTTTTTTTTTTTACTGTAACCAGTGAAGTGCTATGAACTTTAGATTCGGTAAATGGTGAGCAGCCTGTTGCCACAGAATTGGTGGTGCCTTATGTGAATAAAATTACTCGCGTGTGCAACTGCTGACCCGTTTGTAACTGCTTCTTCCGTCGATAATAAACTGCATTTCTAATGTCGGACTGTTTGTGTTAACACTGTTAATGCTGCCTTATGTTTTAATGCCTGTGCATGCTAATGGGTTTGCCGAGACTGCAGACTGCGTCAGTTTGTCTATAAGGAACAGTGATGGGCATTCTCTGTATGTGTGAATGTTTTTTTTTTTTTTTTTTCGTTGGCACAGGAGTGAAGCAACTATGGGGTGATCCGATTGCTATGAAGATGAAACTACGATTACCATATGTGCTAGGCTCGACAAAATATTTTGTTACTTTTCTGAGTTTTTTCTGATGAGATAAGTTGAGCTGATTCGAGAGCCGACATCATAGCACTCGGGGCATTCCAATAAGCGCTCCGTCTCCATCTTCAACAGCCAGTGAAGAGTTACGATACTAATGGTGCCAGTAGCATTATGATTAAACGTCCGTCTTGCCTTTCCTCTGAGCCTCGAGCATCCGCCAGAACCTGTCGTCACTCCCCCACCCCTCCCCCGCGGATCAATCTCCCCAGACTGTGGTGATCTATCTGCTCCTCCGAACTGTACACGCTCTCCCATAAGGCACTAACCACGTCTGCCTTCTCATTCATCTGTATTCCACCAAGTTGTGCAGAGCCAGCCAGTCTGTCCCCCTATTCATTTTCCAACACGCAGGCGTGTCCCGGTGAAAAAAAAAAACAATACTCTTCACCCGTGTCCTCCGCAGTGAAGCATGCCACATTGCACAAAGCTTGCCTGTCCTTACCTTCCTCAGCTCAGCATGCTTTCTGAGTCAGTTACAATCACGATGTGTGTGTATGTGTGTGTCGTGTTCTCTAACCAGCAGCAAGATACAGTGACCGCCTCCACCTCCATTCTTAAGCTGGATGTTGTGGTATCATATGCTAGGCTCTCCTGCACCAAACGTCGACCATCAACTTTTGCTTCGAAATCCAAAGCACTTCTTTATGCCTCTTGACAGTGAACCGTCTGTGTAAATAATAAAGTCATCTGAGCGCCTTATCTTGAAATAATTGCTGAATTTCCACAAGGACTGTACAACGAGCGATTAACGCCAGGTGACACAAAGTGCCACCATTCTGATGAGAATCCCCAAGTCCCAGAAATCCCGTTGAATCGCTAGTTTATGTTACGGCCCCCGACGACAGCCGTAGTGGGAGTTTTAAATAGGAAAATTATGTCCCATATTGGGACATAGTTTTTAATTATTAAAACGGTTTTTACTGCCAGCTGAATTTACAGAATTAATTGTGAAGACACTACATTTTAAGTGGGATAATAATATTCCTTCTCATGTCTATACTTCTCGTCCTTTTTAGGGTGAACATTTTTCGTTTTTTTTGAAGCCCTACTCTGCGTTTGCCAGGGGCCGCAATAAAGCCTGGCCATAAATATGTTTCTGTCTTAGATTTATTGTATTTGAAATACTATTTCATGTTGTAACTCTTGCCTGCTTCTGTGTTTTTTCTGTTGTTGGTGTGGTGGTGGTGTTGTATACATCACTTTCGATGATAATTATCATCTTCTGTCTTTGAATACCAGGTAGAGCTAACGCCCGATCCAACTAAAGCCAAATTTGAATATTTTTTCTTTCATGTCCAGCAGTTTACAAAGACTCTTTCCGTATCATCCATCTCTGTCTGTAACTAACTAACTAACTAACTAACTAACTAACTAACTAACTAACTAACTAACTAACTAACTAACTAACTAACTAACTAACTAACTAACTAACTAACTAACTAACTAACTAACTAACTGTGTCCCCCCGTTCTCCCTCTGTTTCTTTTGCCCTATGGACTCCGGAGACAGAAAAAAAGGTGCGAGTCTTAGTCTACTGTTGCTTTCATTTTTCTGATTGTCCTCTGTGTCTTCGACAGATAAAAGACAGAAAGCTATCGTCTAATTTCGAATTCTTCCATCTGCTTTACAAGTGACCAGCAAATGGACACTTCTTTTTTTCTGTATAGCATTACGATGTTGGTAACACTTGGTGTTACCAACTGGAAAGAGAAGGCCAACCAGAGACATGAGTGGAGGTGGGTGAAACCTGCAGTAATGAACCTCAAGGGCTCGAAACGCTGAAGCAGAGGAAGAAGAAGACTATGATGTTACTTGAACATCAGCACCCATAACATTTATTCAGAATATAAGGGGTGTAGCTTGAGAGTTACATTCCCTCCTAGAGAGAAATTTTTCCGGGTGGTGAAGTAACGAAGAAAAATTGTTCATTACCGGTTGTCAACTGCAGGACTCTTAACGTAAACTGTTTAAAACTAGTTCAATACGTTACAGACAGATATCTGTCAGTGTTAATATTTTATGTCATTTCAACGAACCCATTCCAAAATGCATATTCTTCACATCGGAGGATTAAAGGTATTCTTGATTAAAAGGTTAGTTTGAAAATCAAGTACAGTAGAACCTCGCTTAACAAGTACCTCTCATAACGAGTAATTCGCATAACGAGCAAAACAAATTGTAAAAGAATGACTTGCTTAACGAGCGACGTTTCGCAT